TCTTAGAAATGTCTTGCTAGAATTCCCTGCTAGTCTTCATGTGGCAGGACAGCAGTGTTCCAATAGCTAAGAGGTTGCCCTAAAGGAAGTCAACCTATTCTCCAAAGCACCCAAGGCAGGACAAGAAGCATTGGATGGAAAGTAATCAAGGAGTGAAGCAACCTAGAACTAAGGAGAAATTTCCTGAAAGTTAGAACAATTAGTCAGTGGAGTGTCTTGACTCCAGAAGTTGTGGAAGAAGTTTTAAAGAAGAGATTGGACAACAATTTGTCTGAAATGGTGTAGGATTTTCTCCTTGAGGGAGTTGGACAGAAAATCTCCAAGGTCCCTTCCAACTCTGTAATTCATCCTTTTTCTTCTTGGCACCATTTACTGAAGAAGGTAATAAAGCAGCCTCTAAAGAGCCCTCCCTACACCGTTCCACCGGCTTCCATTCCCCGCGGCCACTGCTAGCACCATCTTAATGTATTCCTTAAGTTGTCGGGATGCCAAACCCCAGAACCTCCCGGCCCCACCTCCCTTTCAAATTTCTCTCCCACCACCTCTTTTTCTCGTGCGCGCTCACAAGTCAATGGCTCGGGACTTCCCAACTTCACACACCACCGGACGAGGAGGGAGGACAAAGGATCCCGACTCCCTCCCAGATGAAATGATCCGTCCACGTGGCTGCCGGAGGACCAGACCTCCCAAGCTCCCTTTTTCAGCCCCGGGGATGCGCCTGTTGGGAGGGCCCTGCACCCAGCTTTGCTGCTAGCGCGCTGGGAGGAAAGGGGGGGGGGGTATTTCCAAAGGACTGGCGGGAATATGAGTTCCGAAAGCCAACGCCTCCCAAATCCGCGCTGGGGAGTCTTTTTGGGGCAGCAACTTTGGCAACTCTATATTCCTGCTGCTGTCGCCGGGGGAGGGAGCCTTGTTTCACCAGCCAAACGATATTTTCACACAGAGCAAGAGGTGGGCACGCTCCTCCTCCTTCCCGTTCTCGTCCTCCCCACCCCCGCCATGGGCAAAAATGGGAACAGGCTTTTCTTTCTCCTCTTTCTCCGGGAAAGAGGAAAACGTGGCCGTTGGAACATAATCTTCCCCATCACTCACTGCAGAGGCAGCTGAAGGAGCCATCCCGCCTAACCCTTTATTTGAGGAGAACTATGCATGCCTTTGGTTGGGTTCCCACTTCTTTTAAAAAGGAAAAAAAAACCCAGACCGAGGAGTTCGTTGAGGACACAGGCCCGTAACGTGTGAGGTCAGGGAACTTAAAATGCTAGCCAGTTGATGTTTAAAATGGCAAGAAAATCCGGGCAGATAAAGGAGGCAGCACGGAAGTTCTCCGTCTCCTTGAGATTAATAACCACGGGGCTGCTACAGTTTTCTGCTAGGTTTTCTGTGCAACTGAAAAAATCCTGTGGACGGGCAAAGCGCCCAAAGTTTGCTAGAAAGAGTAGCCTGTCTTTAGGAATGGGCTGTTTCCGAGACGGAAGGGAAGGGAAGGGGAAGGCGAATTCCCATCCCTGCTTGCACAGAATCGTTTCCTTATCGTACCTCTTTTCCCGCCAAAGCTGGCGCTGTAGCACAAGGAGAGAACAGAGGACTTTAAAAACAGTTTCGTGGCCCAAGTAAATCCCAAATTGACAACTTATTACGCCAGAACTGCAACACACATTTCATGTCGCTTTCATACAATCAAGGTTTGAACTCGGTATATAGATCCTGGGAATCGGGTGTGTTCTTTGCGTCAAAATATACCTGCTCATAAGGCAACCGGATGATGCTAATTTGATGAAATTAACCCATAACTAGGGTTAGATAGTATTTGAAACCACAAGCCAAACAAAGACCTGTCTGCACAATAGGCTAAAACAGGCAAGGTTAAACTAATCTGTTGTCAGCCTTTTCATTTACCGCGAAATTCTTTCCGCAAAAAAGAAACAGCCGGGAAAGAGAAAGGAACAAACGAAAAGAAGCAGAAGAAATATCTGCAAGGGATTAGCCATTCGTGGTTGATACCATGACGTTCAGTAACCTAGAGTAGTAACAAAAACTTTTTGTCAGCTACGATAAGCACTGACACAAACTTTTCCCCCTTGTGAGAAATTGCCCCAAACCCTGCCTAAGGGACTACATCTCCTTCGACCTTCAGAGTTTCTCCAGCAGAGGGAGCCGCGGAACTGCGCAAAGACGCGCCATCCCTTCCAACTTCGAGAGTTTTAAGAAGCGCAGACGCTTCTCTTTCCCGGCTCCCCGTTTAAAGCACCGGGCGCCGGGAAGCGCCGGAGCTCCTTGACCGAGAAGGCTGCCCGCCTCCGAGCGCCAGTTCATTCATTCGCTCAACGGAAAGAGGTTTGCGCGGCGGAGCCCTTCGCGTATCTCTTGCGGGGGAAGGGCGAGGGGGGGGCAGGATTAGTCCCGCCTGCTTGCAAGGAAAGAGGGTGTGTCGCAGCGGCTGGGCGGGGCAGGATGGGGGGGCTTATTCTCCAGCTTGCTTTAAAGCGGGGAGGAGGCCAAAAAAAGCCCTAGGGTTTCTCAGCGTTTGGGAAAAGGGGGAAGAGTCTGCCTAGAAGAAAGCAGCTGGGATGGAAGAAGACGATTAGTTGACGATGACATAGACTTTTCCTGTAGAAAAACCCTGACACTCCCCCCCCCCCGTGCACCGCCCCCCGTAACATTTGGAGCCCGCCAAAGAGATCGAGCCAGAACTCCTTGGCTGCCGCCACGCACAGGAAAACTGAGATAAACGCTCCGAAAAGAAAAGGCGAGAAGGGCGATTTTCCTCACTTCCCGCCCCCCCGCCCGACTCGGCAGCAACATGCCGAGACAGACAAAACAATGCTCCCATCTCCCAACACATTTGGATTCACAAGAAACGCAGCCCTCCTTTCCCCCGTTCCCACCCTACCAGCCAACACCACACCCACCCCGATTTTTCCATGTTGCATTCATTGCTAGCTAGCCAAGTCTTACTCATTTTGGGGTGAATCTCCCGGGATATTGCCTTTTGCAGTCTGGATCAGTAGGTCAGTTAAACAACACTAGTTTTTCTTTAACATAGGTAAATGATTAGATAGGTAAGATAGATAGATAGATAGATAGATAGATAGATAGATAGATAGATAGATAGATAGATAGATAGATAGATAGATAGATAGATAGATAG